AGTTTGTCCTCAAACTTGGAATTTCTTTAGGATCAAAGTATGGACTAATATCTTTCACGTTGAAAGTGGAAAAAACTTCGTAATCTCCTGGGAGGTTAATCTTGTAAGCATTCTTGTTGATCTTCTCTAGTATCCCAAACGGGCAATTTGCTCTTGGTAGTAGCTTGGATTTGCATTTTGTCAGAAAATGCTCTTTTTTAAATGAATCTAGACCAAGTCTCCGGGTTGGAAACTCGTGCTCTTTCTCCTCTTGTTGAATCATGCACTCACTTGCTCATTCATGGATTCAATCTTCTCTCGAACCTTATTTTTAAGGTCTTGAATCTCCTTTGATCTCTTTTCAACTTCCCAACTCTACCTTGTATCTGTTATTATAGGATTAAGCTCAAGTGGGGTTAAAGGGTTCGAACCATAGATAACCATAAAACGAGATAAGCTTGTGGTCTTGTTCGGGGTTCTATTGTAAGCAAACTCGGCATGTGGTAATAGCTCCTCCCATTGCTTGAGATGAGGGCTCGGAGGAGAGTTCCAAGGGTTCGGTTGGTGACCTCAGTCTGCCCATCGGTTTGTGGGTGGCTATATGTACTAAACTTGAGTTTAGTACCCAACTTTCTCCACAAGGTCATCCAAAAGTGGTTTAGGAATTTCGTATCACTATCTGAGACCATGCTTCGGGGAATGCCATGGAGTTTTACTATCTCTCGGAAGTAGAGATCAGCCACTTGCAAAGCGTCATAGGTGGTAACACAAGGTATGAAGTGCGCCTTCTTCGAGAATCTATCCACTATGACGATGTTAGAGTCCTTGCCCCGTTGTGTCCTAGGCTGCCCGGTGATGAAGTCCAAGCTAATGTCTTCCCAAGGTGTAAGTGGGACGGGCAGCGGGAGATGCTTTCCTTGCAGCAAGGAATGTCCATTGGCTAAATGACAAGTATGGTAGCGTTTGACGAAGTTATCCATGTCTCTTTCCATTTTAGGCCAAAAATAGTGTTCTTGCTAGACCGCCGAGCTTCATGAACACTACACTTCGGGATGCACAATCGATTACCATGGAACAAGTACCCATCTTTGATGAGGAAGTCTTCATAGGTCCGAGAGAGACACTTAGAGTAGGTGTCCTTGAAGTCTTTATCTTCTTTGTAAAGCTCCTGCAAAAACTCAAAACCAGCAGGTTTGGTACTAAGTACCATTAGTAATAAATGTCTCCGGGACAAGCCATCGGCGCCCTTGTTCATGGTTCCATTTTTTGTTTGATGGTTAAAATGAAAGTTTGGATGTATTCGACCCATTTGGCATATCGGTTTCGAAGTTTATGCTACCCTTGAATATATTTCAACGCCTCATGATCGGAGTGAAGGATGAACTCCTTACTTAAAAGGTAGTGCCGCCAATGTTCAAGTGAACGCGCCAACGCATGGAACTCTTTGTCATAGGTGGAAAATCGCCTTCTTGTATCGTTTAGCTTCTCGCTAAAGTACAATACCAGATGCCCTTCTTGGGTTAGGGCAGCCCATATGCCAACTCCTGAGGCATCAGACTCCACTTCAAATAGCTTTTCAAAACTAGTAAGGGCTAATACGGGAGCATGTTTTAAACGTTCCTTGATAGTTTTGTTGGGCTTTCAGATTCCATTCAGACTTTTGATTTTTGATCAAGTTTGTGAGGGGGTGGTGATGGTGCTAAAATCCTTCACAAATCGCAGGTAGAAAGATGCAAGGCCATGGAAACTTCTAACTTGTTGCATTGACGTGGGAATGGGCCAACCCCTTATGGCTTGCATTATCTTTTCATCAACTTTGATTCCTTCACTTGAGATAAAGTATCACAAGAACTTCGTTTCTTGAGAAAAGAATTGGCTCTTTTCAAGGTTTCCATACAGCTTCTCTTCGTCCAATCTTTTAACCACTGAAGTGAGGTGATTAATATGGTATTCTTTGTTCCGACTATAGATTAGAATGTTGTCAAAGTAGACAATGACAAAATGACTTATAAATGGCTTCAAGACTTGATTCATAGGTCTCATGAAGGTGTTGGGTGCATTGTTTAATCCAAATGGCATGATTAGCCACTCGTATAATCCGAACATGGTTTTGAACACTGTTTTCCATTCATCACCTTCATACATTCGGATCTATGTGGTAGCCACTTCTAAGATCAATCTTGGAAAATATCCTTGAACCGTGAAGCCCCTACAACATATCTTCAAGTCCAGGTACTGGATACCTATACTTGATGAGTAAATTGAATAGAATCAAGAATAATATTAGAATAAAAAATATTCTTTGACGGCTTTGATTGCTATGCCTTTCCTTCAATCATCCAAAGATGGGTTAAGAATAGTAGATTCATAGGTTTCTAAATTACCTTGTAGACCATCGATGGTGAGGTTGGAAACGGTTATTGACTCGTAGATGGCGTCGGCATTGGATCTCCATCCGGGTGTAAGGCTCCGAAAGATCTTTCTCACAAGATCCTTGTTGGCATACATCTTCTTTAAGGCATGGAGATCGTTGACAATTTTCAAAAAACCGATCGAACATGTCGTCGATCTTCTCATTCTCCTTCATTCTGAACAATTCATATTCTTGTGTTAAAAAGTCAACTTTAGCTTCACGTACCTTGTAAGTGCCTTCATAGATGACCTTAAGTTTGTCCCACATCTCTTTGGCAATGGAACAACAAGATATCTTTTGGTAGTCATCTAGATTCACGGCATAATAAAGCATGATGATGGCCTTTGCATAGTTCTTGACCTTTTTAATGTCTTTGACATCAAACTCATCTTTAGATCAACCCCAGCTAGGCCATCAGTGCATCCTTGTCTTGGATTATGGTTGTGTGCTTTTCAATCTGCTGGGAGGACGCCAGGAGTTGCGATTCTTTCTCTTCCAAGGCCACATGAAGGGCAGCTTTTCCCAATTCCAATCCAGTAATCTTGGAATTGAGCTTCTGGAACTCAAGTTCCAAGGCCTTTGTTTGATCCACAAAACTGGAGATTTGCATCCTTAAGGACTTCGCCTGGGCTTCCTTGGATTTCAGATCTAGTTCTAACTCTTGAGCCTAGGAGGACTCGGCAGAACCCCGTGACCGCTCAGCTTCTCTCTTGAGCTCTTCAAACTTGGTCTTCTAGAGCTCCCGGTCTTCATTCAACTTGCCATTGAGCTTGCGAAGATGGGCATTTTCTCCTTGGACAACCTTGAGTTGCTCCCTCAGCTCTCGAAACACTTCTTCCTTCTAACCCAAGAGAGAGTAGGCTTAAGGGTTCCAAAAGGAGGCTCCCAGATATTCCTCAGTCACCTTCAAACGGCAGCATGAGCCTGAGAAATTGAGGAGTTTAGATGAAGGAAATCAGCATGAAAATGGAAGTGCAAAGAAGGGGATGGATAAGTACCTACTCCATGAAGCCAAGAGTGGCAAAGGCTGCCACGTCTGGGCGATAATTGATGTCGCTAGGGCCTGGGCCTATAGCTAGCTCCTAGACCCATTTAGTCATCTTCCTCCCCTGGGCATGAGCTTCTTTAGTAGACAAGAGACTTTCCCAAATAGGAGCCAAGTTCTTTTTAAACAGGTTCAGGGTCTCTAGAATAAATTTATTGTTAGCAACTAGGTACAAGTTTTCCTGGGCGAAGGAAGAGCCCCGCATGGGATGACAAGAAGGGGTTGGATCCTTCGCGGATGAGGTATGGGTGCCAGTAGGGCAGTCTCGTGCGATTCCGCTCTTAGAAAGAAGAACCTGCGCAGCAGCCTTGGAAGATGGACCGGGAAAATGAGGCTTGGCTACCTCAATATATCCCCTGGTGGATTACCACCCTTGGCAGCAAAGACTACTACCTCTTCACAGTTGCCCGGCTTTCCCCTCTCGAGAAGATATCCAAGGGGGCCTGGATTAATCTGTGCAAGAGGGGTAAAAGGTGTAGTATGAGAGGATTCTGGGGAAACTTTGCTCAGAGACCCCATTGGTTTCTTGTGCTGAAGAAGGATGGTAGGGTTGAATTTTTCACGCTTCTTCGTACCAGAAGGCTTAAAAGTCTAGACTCGAAGACATGTTAATTGTGGTATGGGTTGACACCACTTTCAGTGCAAGGGAGATCATGGGAATGGTCAGTAAGAGTGGCATCTAGGCCCAAAATACTGGAAGGGATAGAAATCACATGCTCTGCTCGCACCCCATGGGCCAGCGGTTCCGGTGAACCCCTCGTTTCAGCTCCTGAGGAGGAAGTTGGCTTACCTCTATAAAGGGAAACGATGGGGTTGTCTCCCGAGAAATGAAAACCAGCTAGGCGTGTTGGAACACACTTTGTACGATAAACTAAAATCGTGTTCATTTCTGACAGGTTTTGATAATTGCCAAACCGCCGTGGATATAAAGAGTTTCATTGAATAACTCAAGGCGTGAAGAATGGCTTGGAACAAGACCTAAAAGACTCAAGGACAAGATCAAGAATTGAAGACTTAGTCGAGTCGGTCTTTTGTGATCAAAACCGACAATAAATTCAAGTCTCAGTTCTCAAAAAGTCAAAACAATTTTTACAAATCATAAAATATTTTTTGTGCATCAAAACAAACATTTTTGATGATTTCTTTTATTGTTAAAATCCCTGGTCCTTGCTCAGAACCAAAACCACCTAAGTCGGCATTCGGCGTTCGGCTTTCGGCGTTCGGTTTTTGGCACCCGAACAAACTCCGTGGTTTTCAATATTTTAAACCCTGTTTTTACCTCTGAGCATTTTTAAAATGTTCCCAAACAATTATTTTATAAAAACCACTTTTGTATCTTGGTCAATCGGTCTAACACGTGAAAAACAGTCAAAACCGTACGCACGTATTGAACGACCTTGGAGACTTGGTTTTTACCAAACAAGTCTTGTTTTCACTACTTTATACCATATACAATATTTTTCAAACCTGGTTTTACTTTTGGGAACACTTCGTTTTTGGACCTCGGTTTTTCAAAAGGGTTTCAGGTGGCTAGACTTTAGCTGGGTGATAATCGATTATCACCTTAGTGACAATCGACTATCAGCCCCTGCAGCTTTGAACTTCCAAAGTTCTGGAGCACGCAATAGTCGATTATCAGCTATGCAATAATTGATTATCAGTCTTTGCAGCCAAAGCCCAGAATCTTCTAAGAGGACCAATAATCGATTATCACTTGTTGACAATCGATTATCTGGGTTACCGTTGTCCTCCAACGGATAGAATTTTAAATTTTTGGACAGGGAATCTTTGGATAATCGATTATCAAGCTTTGACAATCGACTATCACCCTGTGTCTCTGAAAAATTTTGTCTTCATCCTGTTGGAAATTTTAGCAACGGGTTTATCCTATTTTGAGCTATAAAATGGCACCCAAATCCTCTCATTTTACACACAATTCTTCAACATTTTAATACTCTTTCATTGCATAATCATTCCTAATTTTCTTAGCTATTTGAGAGCCAATTCTTGAAGAAATTGTCGTGTTCTTGAGCGTTTACTAGTTCACTCATATCTACTCTTTGTGAGAGTTTTATTCCTGAGTGTTTAAGTGTTTTCATACACTTTAAGGGAGGTTGTTCCCTTGTTGTAAACTCGAAGGAAGTTCCTTGTTCCTTCGTGAGAAGTCTTGGAGTGCGGTATCTCCGAGCAAAGGTGTTGAGGCTCGTGTGACTCGGGTTCTCAAGATGTATCGGTTTGTTAAGCACCCTTAAGCTTAACGGAGTTAGTGTAGCTTGAGAGAGTCTCTCGGGGGGATGGATTAGCCACACGTTGTGGTGAACCAGGATAAAATTCGGTGTGCTCCTTCCTTACGCTCTTTACTTTAACGCTCTCGTTTTAATTTCCTGCGATTTTGTTTTAAACGCTATTCACCCCCCCTCTAGCGCTGGGCCTTTATTCTAACAAGGCGGAATAGGTTATCTATGTGAAGATCCTCATGTTCAATAAGGGTGCCGTTCTTCATCTCCTCATAAGCCTTATCATCCTGGGAACCCATGAAAAATTGGGTACGTGAAACGTTAGATTGCCACACCACGGACGGTAGATCTAAATGGATGTGAATTGGGAATCCTATAACAAAAAAACTTCTTTACTAGTGTGTGATTTTTAGGTCCACCTTCGTGAAAATGGGGAGCTTTTGATGAGGGAACACACTGAAGTAAGGGACGGAACCACCAACACTGAACAAAGTCATGAAGTCCTCAATTGAGGGGGTTCTTCCCTTTTTGTGGTATCAAAGGATGTATGGAAGCAAGGTATTTGTGGGCATTGGTTGTGAATTGCCTAGGAGGTAGCTCCCAAGTCGTGCATACCTCGCAGATGAAAGAGTGCAATGGGAGTCTCAAACCATGGAGGACCAAGTCATAATGCATAACCATGAAGTGCTCCGGCTCTAAATTATAAGAAAGATTGATCCCACCCACGGTTTCTAGATGATGGACTCTAAACAGATCTCCTAGAAGGTCACGCATGAGGACAAGCTGTGAATCCTTAATCATGGAGAATTTGGGTCGCCATTGCTTAATGTTGGAGGATTGGGAAGTCATGCTGCAGAAATTTGGGGTAGGAAAGCTGTAGATAGTGGAAGATAACTCAGAGATCAGGTCAAAGGATGATGCAAAGGAGTAAATGGGTCACCGAAGTGGAATGGGTTTTATAGACGCTACGGCAGGAATTTCGAGTAAAGAGTAACATCGTTTCTGATCCGGCACGATAATAAAAGGTGGCTCATCATTACTTCCTTGGCGACATGTCACTAAGGAACTTTGAGGCTTTTGATGGATATCTGGGCCCGGTAATCGGATAGGGACAACCCATTTATGATTCCACGGCCCAACAGAGATACAAATCCAACTGCAAAACGTAGAGGCCCGAAGGCGGACCGGAGTGTCAGATCACACTTGATACCCGAATGAAGTGCGATTCACCAAATCGTGGGATTGAGGGGGGGGGTGTTGATGATTGATTCCCCGCCATTATTAATGCATGATTGCAGAGTTTCCAATAATGTAGTGCATGAAATATTATATGCCTTTTGATCTCTTGTTTTATTTTTAATCTCTTGTTATTTCTTTTGTCCTTTTGATCTTGTGTGTTCACTCACCTTCTTGACTTAAATTCACCGTATTAGTAGTTTGATTAGTGTTTGATCGACTAAGTACTTGATTCCCCTAGAGCTATCCTCTTCGGGAACGACAAAAATACTTACCAATTTTACCACATTAAAATACATAAAAAGTCTTTAAATCAAAAAGTGCGAAAGATGGGGTAGAATGGAGCGCAACATCTGCAACACAAGTAAAATCTATGGTAGATCTGCGACGAGTATCTACAGTCCGTGGTATATAAGTACCAATTTCCCAAACAAATTCTTCCATTGCAGACTCGACGTAAATGCACCACGAAATCAAGTTTATGGCAAATCTGGGAGATTCTTTTAGTGAAAGAAAATTATAGTTTGGGTAGTTTTGGATCGATTGACAAAGGCTACTCATTTTCTACCGTTCCGTACAGATCTTTCCGTCTAGAGATTGGTCGAGCTTTACATGCAACTATGAGATCGCGAGATTGAATGGTGTTCTGTTGTCCACAGTTTCTAATCATGATCCTCACTTCACATATAAATTTTGAAAGAGTTTACAGAAAGATCTTGATTCAAAACTCATTTTTAATACAACATTCCACCCCGAGATATCAAAATTGTTTGGCCAAATGATGCATGCATGTGCATTCAACTTTGGGACAGTTTGGATTACTATTGATGAAATTTGCATCCATATCAACAACAATTTCTAGACAAGCATTCAAATGACACCATATATGAAGCTCTATGGTAAAAGGTCTAAGTCCCATGTGCCATGGATCGAGCTTAGTGAGAGTAAGCTGGTAGGTCAAGATCTAGTTTGTGAGATTGACTAAAAAGTCAAGCTTATCGAGAAAAGACTTAAGAAGACTTCAAATCACTAGAAATCCTATGCCATTCTCGAACATTGTGAGATCAATTGCGACAAGGTTTTTCATTTTCTGTAAAATAGAGAAACTTAATTGCAATTCATTGGTAAGTGTATTTTTATTAGAAGTAAAGAGTGTGCCCTAAAAGAAAATGGGAAGATTTTGGAACACACAGTTATTTTATACTCCATCCGTCCAAAAAAAGCCCAAGTTATGCATAATGAAGTAATATTTCAAGTCTTTTAAATTCTTTTTATTCAAATATTCGTAAAAAAATAAAAAGTAAAACTTTCATATTTAAAAACTACTAGTACTCTAACCCATGCCGCGCAAGGATCGAACGAAATTTGCGTCAATAATTCTAAAAGTTTTGTATAATATAATATTTTTTCTCTAGGTTTAAGAAAAATATATTTTTAATACTGTCTTATATTCTATAGACATTAACATAAAAATAGAATAAATAATATGTAGCATTTAACATTTTGTGATATTACATTCTTAAACATGAAATTGAAAGACATTACGACATAGTCTGATAATTGCAAGTGTCTTTTTTAGTGTTATTGACTCTATTGCTAATATCTAATTATTATTAAATTTTATCAAATTAAAAGAAAATTATTGACCTATATGGCGAGACCCCTCAATTAAATCACATACTTAGTCAATAAAAAATGATCTTAAAGATGATTTATAATTTCTTAATATCAAGTTGTATAGTGTGTGGTTTATCACACAATATATATACATACATACATACATACATACATATATATATATATATATATATATATATATATATATATATATATATATATATATATATATATATATATATATAAAGAAGAAATTTTTATTACGAAATGCGAATAGAGGTAAAAAGAGTATCACTCTTGATCGCTCCCCTAATAGATGGGGTTAGATACACTAGAGAATTGAATGATCTAAAAGAGTTATTGGTCAGTGCATAACGTGCAAGTCTGTGAGCCGCCGTGTTCTCCTCTCTGTAAATATGTCTAATGTGTCCTCTGTTTGTTGCCAACAAATTTCGGATCTCTTTACAAGTTCCATCTTCGTGATTGTATTACAAAAGCCTTCGTCTTATGAGTTATAATAATCATCATATCATATCATATCATATATATATATATATATATATATATATATATATATATATATATATATATATATATATAAAGTTGAACGGATTAATTGTCATTGCAACATGAGTCATGCCACGTCATCATTTTTATTGCCAAATATGTTGCCACATCATGCCATGTCATGCCACTTAATTTTATTTTAATCAACTTTATTTCACTTACTTATTATATAAATGAGGCAATTAATTAAGAGAGCGAAGAAAATGAAAAGCCACATAGTTATATACTACTTAAAATTTTATTGATAGAGTTTTAAATAAATATACACGCAATATTTAATTTTTTTAAAATTTCTTAAACAATTTTTCTGTACCCTTCTCTTTTTAAGATTAAATAAAAATTACTTAATTAAACTTTTATAATGCCCTTTACTTAAAAACCATTTAAAAAATATCCATTTCATAAGACAACATATTTAAGAAAAGTAAAATAAAATATGACAACATTTTTTTAGAAATATGCATAAGCAAGCAGTTATTTAAAAAAATAATCATTATTTTTCATTATATATTAATCATCGTAACACTTTTTTAATACAAAGAATTAAATAATTATTTTAAAATGTAATAAATTAAATATTTTATAGTTTTTAAAAATAAAATTACTTATAAATTTTTGAACCTATACACCATTTATTTTATTACATTTATATACATGTGCCCCTTCAATTTTTCAAATATGTATTTCCATTTTAATTTAATCATAGATTTCTTAAGCAAACTACAATATTTATGTTAATTTACTTAAAACTACAATATTTTTATCCTTACAGCCAAGTAAATTAAGTTTAGACTCTTAGCTAACATATTGGTCAAAGTATTGTACGAAAATGTTGAATTTCATAGTGTAAGTTTTATATTTCTAACAAACATTTGAAATTCGAAAATGTAGAATTTGAACGTGTAAGGATAAGCAACAGAAAAGACTCTTCATGTTCCCCTCTGTAACGCCACAAAATATGGCCTAAAATTTATTATAAAACAAAAGTAGTTTTTTATCCAATAAGGAATATTTGTACGTTTGACTAAAAATAAATGGATTTTCAAAATAATGACTTTTTGTTAAAAAAATTATATTTATGGATATGTCTCGAAGAGACGAATCCAAACGGTACATTTTATAAACCAATCTGATTTGTAGATTTCAAGTTATGTCAATTTTAAATAGTAAAATTTGTAACTTTGACCCATAAAATAAACTAAATTCAAAAGTGATTTCATCAGATTAGAAATCATAATTTTGACACTTGACAATATCATATTTATCATTTGGATTTAATTCATATGTTTTTATCTCAGTCATAATTTAATTTTATCACATTGTAATGATTGGATGAACGTATATTATTGTTATACATAAGTGTGATATGCATGTTTACGGTTATAGGCATGCATAAGCCATGTGAAATCAGATTGTTGACATTACGTTAGTCAGAATAACTCCATTAAGGATCGCTAATGAAAGTTCAAGTTTTGAAACTATATTTACATATTCATCTAAGAAACCTAGAATGATGACTATGGTAGTAGTCATTTTCCAAAATACCCTTATGTAAAAACATCAAACCTAGAAACAATTCATTCCAGATTGTACACAATGAAGCGTAATTTGTGAAACCAACATTCCAGACAAACTCTGAGAATGATTCTCAAAGAATTTTCAGAAACGGAAATTTTGTAAATTACCCCACATTCAAGAAACGCAACCTATACTCCTACACCACGACAAGAGCAAGTCTAAGAGTATATATTCGACGCAAGTCTCCGTGAGAGAAATCCAAATACGTTACATTTATCATCCACATATATTCTTTCTCAAAAGAGAAAATGTCATACTCATGACACTCAACAAAAGAAAGAGAAAACAACTTTTCAAAATTTGTGTTTAAAAAAAAAATAATAAGGAATATTCATGATTTTGTACATCATCATTTTAATCGACTTCACCTAAGGAAATTTCGGGGACGAAATTTCTTTAAGGGGGTAAGAAATGTAACGCCACAAAATATGACCTAAAATTTATTATAAAACAAAAGTAGTTTTTTATCCAATAAGGAATATTTGTACGTTTGACTAAAAATAAATGGATTATCAAAATAACGACTTTTTTTTAAAAAACTTATATTTATGGATATGTCTCGAAGAGACGAATCCAACGGTACATTTTATAAACCAATCTGATTTGTAGATTTCAAGTTATGTCAATTTTAAATAATAAAATTTGTAACTTTGACCCATAAAATAAACTAAATTCAAAAGTGATTTCATTAGATTAGAAATCATAATTTTGACACTTGACAATATCATATTTATCATTTGGATTTAATTCATATATTTTTATCTCAACACTTGTTATTTTGGCCATATCTTCTTCGTTACTTAACGAAATCGCGAGCCGTTTGTTGGGTTGGATTCGTAACATCCGGGGCTACAACTTTGGTTCAAGAAGTATTCCGAGATAATGGAAGGAAAATTTCAGTTTTTACGTTGAAGTTGCTGCTGCGTTTATCGTCGGAATCATGTTCATCGGCATACCCGAAATTCTGGATAGCAACTTTCTATTGACTTCAGGTCCGATTTACGCTATCTTACATATGTTAAAACGAAATAATTTCTATACGAAAGTTGTAGCCTTACATCTTAGGAATCCACGGAATCAAACGGTTTGCAATTCCGTGGAGAAACGATGGAGATATGCCCAAATTACCGCAAGTTGTCCAGTTGTGACGGAAATGACAAAGTTGGCAAATTTCGATGTTGTTTCCACTCCCGCTCATCCGTAAGGTTTCGGCCGATGATTTCCAGGTCCGTACCTTTGCGTTAGACTTGTCGAATCATTCATCACATACGTACATGAACATATATGTTAATCCATATGTTGAAATCATCCCAAAATATATATGTGACACATATATTAGTCATCTTTGTGTTAAGACCAAAATATACCAAATCCATAAAGTTAATATATATATATATATATATATATATATATATATACATACATAAGTATATATAAACATTTGAGATCAACCCAAAAATGTATATATTAATCAAAGGTGTTTAAAAGACTTAAAGAAGTATTTTTGGACACTCAAAATATCAAGAGAAACTTTCACAGACCTAAACGGTCGACGCAAAGGGTCGACCGTCACGTTAAACTTCGAGACGAACCAGGACTGTCAGCCAAACGGTCGACCGCCGGTGGCTGACAGTCGACTGCCGCCCGCCGAGCCGAGGACCGTCTTTCTCAGTTAGTCAACAACGGTCAACCGCCGGTCCACCACGGTTGACCATCACGGTGTTCTGAGCCCCGTAACTTATTTTAATGATATTTTTATCAGATTTCATCCAAATAAAATAAAGTATATTTATCCAATCATGTTGTTTACAAATTGTTCATATCATGTGATTAATTTCATCTTCTATATGTAAACATATCACATCATGTGCATGCGCAAGAGATCAGGCGGAAGTGCGTCTCTTGTAGTTGTGATTGTGCGGGACTTAGAAGTCCGACATCACGGACCGGGCTTAGTGTACGTACATGGTACTTAGTTTTTCGAGTACCACCCCTATTTCTGCGTGAGTTCGTCGTACCAAATGGGCGAATCTCATAGTTCAAGGCTCGTCCTTGCGTCTTAGAATCATGCATCATGTTATCATCATCAAGCACATCGATTACATAGGTGTCATGTAATCATCATCAAGAACAGGTATATTGATTACATAAGTATCA